TAAAAGCCTAATGGAGCCCAAAAATTATTGGATAACAATATAAGGCTTTCTATATTCTTTTATCTTTACTTCTTACGAGGGTTCAAACATTGTACCTAAGACCAATTAGTCCATTTGTGGACCCCAAAAAAAAGAAAGGCAACAACGGAAAGAGAAAGGTAAAATGAAGGCAAAATACATAAGTTACTCCCTACACTATGAACCAAATTCCTATTACATATTTTTTGAGGACGAAAATTACCTTACACATCTAATCTTTTCAGAGTGTGTCTAAGACACACCACTATTGACCAGGTAAATTACACTCCAAAGGAGTGCGTGAAGAGGTGAAAAATGAGCATCTGAAATTTTATATGAACGGTGTAGATTTGAGCAAATTGATCCAAAGGTCTAAATATTTATTTTTCTTTTTATCCTTTTTTCTTTTATCATTACACACAGAATACAAAAAGAAAAGAAAAACTCGCTAATGTAGGATGCTAAAACCTTCGTCCCCAGCCTTCCTTGCTCATTGGTCTTGTTCCCACGATAAACCTCATCCAAGCGCTCCAGTCAGGGGTGTTTATAAAAACCCAAAAAATCGAACCAAACCGAAAACCGAACCAAATCGACCAAAAAAACCGATATTTTTTAGGTTTGGTTTGGTTTTGGTTTTGAATTTTAAAAATCGATCAAATTTGATTTGGTTTTGGTTTTAATAAAAAAAATAACGGAAAAAACCGAACCAAACCGACTATAAAAGTAGCTATTTAAATATATTATTACACCTATATATATGTATATTTTTATATAAAGTTTCTAAAATTTTATGGCACATATTAGTCGTTTGTATTTTTAGTCTAGTTCTTTGCTATTATAATAATCTAATTTTTTGCCTTTACATTCTAGTTTGATTGATAGTTTTCATTTGTTAAATACAAAAATTTATTTCATGTTAAAAATAATCGATTTTTAATTGAGTGCTTAAATTATTCATCACTATTTGATTCAATTATAACCAATATATCTTGGTAAATGATAGATTTCTCAAAGAGCAATTGGTTTGATAGTGTTACGTTGAAATGTAGTCGCCGGAATATGCGTTTGGTAGTGTATGCCTCATATTTAAGAAAAAAAATGATAAATAACCGAAAAACCGACAAAAATCGAATCGATAAAAAACCGACTTAATTGGTTTGGTTTGGTTCAAATATTTAAAAAACCGACTTACTTGGTTTGGTTTCTTTTTAGATAAAAATCGATCCAAACCGAACCATGAACACCCCTAGCTCCAGTAGATCCAAGTAGGAATAAAAAAGAAACAATCTTTAGATTTAATATCTCTACCCGTATTTTTCTCCAAAGACATGGAGCTATCAGTGAAACCCTCATTTTTTTCGTCTTTTGTTAGTCGGAAATGGAGTTTTGCTTGAAACTTTGGCCGGTGAAATAGTTTAAATTCTACTTCAAGTTGAAAAAAAAAATTAATACAGTTGGGTGCTTCATTTATATGAATATGGCAGTGACACAAGAAGAGAGTTAATGAATTTTTTTCTTGTGGGTTCTATCTGCCATGGCTGCTAGATTTTAGTGGAATGATCATTGCACATTTCTACTATAACTTAATTGGTGCAAAATCAATAATCCATTTTAGATATCAATCAAAATAAAATGAAAGAAATTCTTGGTTTTTCTTAAAGAATGTTTAAGCAAGGTGTTTTATGAGAAAATTTTCCGGTTAATCGAAGAGGAAAGTGGTGGACATGGGGAGAGGACGGTGGGGGCGTGGGAAAGATATGAGACGGGTGGGGAGGGGGATGATTTATTTTCTGATTTTTTTTCCGATTGGGATGCAAATTATGTATTTTTTTTTCTTGAGTTATGACACGTGTCACGATTTAATTAGGGCGTGTGATGCAATCTTAGAGAAAAAGTGGTCAAACATAAAAGTGATGTGTTTTAGGCACATTTTGAAAAGATTGAGTGTGTAAGATGATTTTCGTCCGTAAAAAAATATGTAATATAAATTTGGTCCATAGTTTAAGGGATAACTTATGTATTTTGCCTAAAATGAATGGCTCTTATCGTTTGGATGCTAAAAATACCACAAGGGAAAATGAAAGTAGTTTTACTTATATAAGTTTGTGCTATGTTACCTTTACTTGGATGTCAAACAAATTTGCTTGAATTCTCACTTCTTATGTTTACAGTTTAATTTCTTCTTTTGCCTTTTTGACACATCATTTATTTGGACTTCGGCAGCTGGGTTCCCATTGAATTATGAAGGCCCAAAACTTATTCAATTTTGTATTCATTACGCAAAAGTTATTTTTTTTCTTTTTGTTACGTAAAAAATATTTAATTTTGTGTTCATTACCCAAAAGTCACTTTTTTTTCTTTTGTTACACAAATTATTTTACCTTGCTCTATTTATCGCAAAAGTCACATTGGCCATATTTTATAATACTTTTACTTGAAAAGTCTATTATGTCCTTGACATTATAAATTCTCTCATTTATGTATAATACCTTTTATATTATATACTATATAATGTATTTTTACCTAGGTATCTTACTTATAATTAAAATAATTTCAAATTATTTTATTTATTATTTTTATAATATATCCATATATTTAATTTTTCCATGGTACTCAATTTGTTTAATCATATTCAAACATGAACATGTTTTAAATATAAAAATAATAAAAAGCTATTTATTTTTTAATATTTATTTAAAATAGTAAAAACATATTTGTTCAACAAATGATAGTTTTTTTTATAGTCAATAAAACTTTTAAAAGAAGTTTCAAAGATATTTGTGTTTAATATTAAGTTCTTTAAAGCTTTATCTGTTAATATTATTTATTTGAAAGTTTAATGTGTCATTTTGCTAAATGTGGGTATTTTATTTATTAAATTAATAGGCATGGCTTGGCCGATAAATCAATGAGCTTTATTTTTTTAATTTTTATCAAACATGATTAAGAACATGGACTTGAGATTTGATCACGGTAATGTTACTGACAAATTTAATAATGCTACTTATATATCTTGAAAATTAATATTAAGAAAAAAATTAAATGTACGAATATATTATAAAAAATAATAAATAAAATAATATTAAGTTATTTTAATTATAAGTAAAATATCTGAATAAAAGTATATTATAGAAGGTATTACATAAATGGAAGGATTTATAATATTAAGGGCATAATAGACTTTTATCCAGATATTTTAATTATAAGTAAAATATCTGGATAAAAGTATATTATAGAAGGTATTACATAAATGGAAGGATTTATAATATTAAGGGCATAATAGACTTTTCAGGTAAAATATTTGTAAAATCTGGTTAAAGTAATTATTGTGATAACTGGAGCATAGTAAAATGATTTTTGTGTAACAAAAGAAAGAAAAGTGACTTTTGAGTAATGAACACAATTGAATGACTTTTACGTAACAAAAGAAAGAAAAGTGACTTTTAGGTAATGAACACAAAGTTGAATGATCACCCATAAAATTTACTCCTGTAATCCATAGCTTGATCCTCTTGCATTTTGCAACTTTATTACTAACTAATAGTATTAGCTAATATCTTTAACTACAAAAACATGGTTTAAGAAGAACAAAAGCTAGTGCCTTCATCATTAATATTTTTCTTTGGGCCATTCCACATCCAAGATTATATGGTTGACATGCAAAAACGGAAGTTTGGGATCCATATATCGGACGGCCGAAACTAATTGCATTGACTAGATAAAAAATGTATAATATATATATTTTTTATGTATATAATACACATCTATACATAAAATATATATTTTATCGACTATTATTTTATGAACGACTAAAAATATACATTTCTCTTAATATTGTATAGTTAGCATTTCTTCGTTACCATAGTTCTGTACCTACTCCCTCAAGTTTTGACTCAACTAGTGCAAAAACATTCATGGAATACAATAGAAATACTAGTTTTTTTAAATATGAAAAATAATAATCAAGTCAATACATATTTGATCTACTCCACTTTTTTTTCCTAAGGAAAATGGTAATGACACCACTATTACGTGCTTCAAGATACAATGTAATTCATTCTTTTTGGTCTTTGTGGAAGAATAACATCCTCGTTACAATCTTATGCTATAGCGTCTAAATCTCACCAATGACCTTTCACTTCTTATATTATTGGGCCATTACTTCCATCTCATATTATTTGTTAAGGTATTCATTTACAACTTCAAAAGGCAATGAAAAAAAACCGAACAAAAACCTTCAAAGGCATGAATTGCCACTCTTTTTCCTTCTTTCCTAACCACTATTATATTATACACAATTTTGTCAATTTGTGGTATGTAAGGATTGTCCCTTTAGGACTTTCAGGGGTTAAGCCCATTGGAAAAAGACCAACTACCCACCCATTCATGAGTTCCAACCGCAAATTTGGCTCTAGCTCCAACAGGTGTTCAACAACATACGGCAAAAGCCCCTCTACCTAATACACCTACTAAACCTTCTAATTCTCCCATTAGACGTTAATTAATTGCTTAATCTTAGAAACGTAGCAGTATTATGAGACCGCAATCCAAATTACTCTACTATTAATGATCCTAGTGATTTCATACTCTATATTCATATTTAACTTTGAGCTTGCATTGCACGAATTGGAATTTCATTGATCTAATTTATTTTCTCTAATTTACCTATTTTAGATTATGTTGCACGATATGGAATTATAATAATGTTATTGTATTAAGATATTATTACCCAACTTTAAATTGCAATCTACGAGTGTCTATTCTAATTGTATCATTGTCTCATGCCTACCGTTGTCCTGTTGAACCTTTCTAAACTTTTCATATAAATATGTGCTCTAGCAGTTCACGAAGTTGGAATAAAATTATGGAGGAGGCATAAGGAAGTGCATTCTTTATTTAAAAAATTATTTGAGAAAAAAAAAACAAAGAAATGAACGAATTACATTAACTAATTAACTAATTAAAGCAGTCGAATAAAAGTCAGATTTTGCACGTTCACTTTTCGTGCCTCATTTCCATCGATCTCTCTTTATTGCCGTAGCCGCCGCCAAAAAGAACCTCGACTCAGTACACTGTCACCATTAAATTTGCGGTTTTCAATAACTTTGAATTTTTAGTATATCATTGATTCAGGTTAAGGTTGAAAGCTAAAAACTAGGCAGATCTCGATCTTATATGGCTTCTGAGGATGTGAAGGCGAGCGAATCAGCGGTGGAGAAAATTGTGAATCTCGCTGAAGAGGCGAAGCTAGCGAGACAAGAGATTAGGCCTACAAGCCATGCCGTTATCAGTATCTGTAAATCACTCGTCGCCGGAGGTGTCGCCGGTGGCCTGTAAGTTTATCCATCACTGAATGTTGAACATACTCCAGAAACTTCCTAAGCATTTTGTCTTAAATTTGGAGTAATTTCGTTATTGTGATTTATGGAATGTTATTTTAACATTAGTTCACGTCATAAATAAAGTTTGTTAGAAAGTTAGAATGCATGAATTTGATGGACTCAATTTCAAGCTCGCTTGATCGAAGTTTATGCTTTTATCCGTATTTATAATTTTGGTTTTTAAGATTTGCTAATCTGATCAGTGTTCCATCAGTATATGAGGTATTCATGACTGTTATTCGCCACTTGATCACATGATTTGGCGAGTGTAGTATTGAAAATTTTGTTTTATTTTTTTGACGGACATGTGTGAAAGAGTCTTGAGTGTTCCAGCATGTCATTGATGTTTTGACACTTATCTCAAACAGAGACTTTGATGAGATTGTAGTGTGTATATGCTTCTTAACTCGGATGACTGAACTGTGTGGTTTCTACTTCCTGGGAGTGATAACAGGGGCCTATCTAGCCTTATAATACCGGGTTCATTTGAACAGTATTTTCGTCGTGGAGCATAATTTATGTGTAAAAATTTATTAACTTGCAATAAATAGTAGATATGAACCCATAATTTGAGAAATATAATAAGTTCAATGCTAAAAGATTTAGAGATTGAACCCATAGAGTTTAAATCCTAAAATCCCCCCTCAATGGTGACTGCCAACTCTTTAACGAATAAAATTATGGATCTCATAGACCTGTATGGAGAGTACGAGCGAATTTCTGGATAGATTATTGTTTTGAGTTGGAGAGACTAGAGAGATGTGTTAAGATACTAGTTTGAAATTTAAAAACGGGGAGTAGTTAGTTTAAAGGCATCACATCAAGTTTATGTGATACTTATGAAGTAATATCCTCTCCATCCATTTGACGTGACATCATTTTACATGTTATAATGTTATTTTAGTTTTATGGATGAAACATTACTTCAAAGTGTAAATGGTTTTGCTAAATGTGCTTGAATTCTATGAACATGAAAGTTTTATAAGCGAATATATTATTTTTGTAAGACAAAATATTTTGGGATGTCCAAAGTAAGATTTCCATATAAATTGGCGCAGAAGTAGTAATAACTTCTGCTAGTTTGAATTGCATGAAGGAAGTTTTGAATTGAAGAAAATAAGTCAGTTTTCGAGACGAACAAAGATGGAACAAAGGTCCATTTTACTTATACTTCTGTATTAATTTGCCTTCAACATGCATAATCTTTCAAAACTTGTGAATCCAAACCTCTTTATAAAAGGCTGACTCCTTCACCGGAAGCATAATCTCAAAGTTTGAGATATCTGACTAGGTTGTCCCCCCGCATAGTAACAACAATAATAGACATAGTATAATCCCACAAGTGGGGTCTGGGGAGGATAGTATGTACACAAACCTTACCCCTACCTTCAAGAAGGCCCGCCGCATAGTATCTAGCAAAATCTTATTTGTGCTGGATATTGCTACATTGAGTTCCATCATCCATGTGATATATGAGTGCTTGAACATATTCTATTTTCCCTGAACTTTGACTTGATTCTGCACTTACTAGTACTCTCCTTATCCTGCAGGTCCCGAACTGCTGTTGCCCCACTGGAACGGCTAAAGATATTGCTCCAGGTGAAGTGTAGTTTCATGCTTTCAGTTTCTGCTCTATTCAATGGTTTTACTGAAAGAGGAAAAATATAAACTAACTTTGAACATTCTTTACTTATTTGAATGAGCACTGTGACCATACTTTAATTTGTAATTACTGGATCAAATTCTGTTCCTTTTGAAGGTTAGGATGGTTAAACCTTTTTTCCAAACATGGATTTTCTTTGAAAGAGTCTAATCTTTTGTATCTCAGGTACATTTATCATTGCATTTAAGGGGTTTTTTCAACTAGTCTCCTAATTTTAACAGGATGCTTTCTGATGTGCAGGTTCAAAATCCACATAGCATAAAATACAATGGGACCATTTCAGGCTTAAAATATATCTGGAGAACTGAGGGGTTCAAAGGACTGTTCAAGGGCAATGGCACCAATTGTGCACGTATCGTCCCAAACTCAGCAGTCAAGTTCTTCAGCTATGAGCAAGCCTCCAAGTATGGTCATATCCGATCACTATGCAATTTTTGTAACTCAGACTTGTTTCTCAGGTTACCCTTAAAATCAAATATCTGGTATCTATTCCCTCTATTGACTTCTTCATTGATATTGTAACAGGGGTATACTATATCTTTACCAGCAACAAACTGGCAATGGTATGTCTATCTTTCTTTTGGGTTGTTTAGTTCTCATGTGTATTTTTTTTGGTTTTACCATTGGGGCATCCTCCAATGATTTCTTTGTAGATGAGCTATGAGATTCCGTGTATGAAACAGATATCTATAAAACTTTTAGCATCGTTCTTTTCCCACTACCTGTGTAAAACTTTAAGCACAGTCTTCTTCGGATATGTAAAAAACTTTAAACACAGTCTTCTTCGGATATGTAAAAAACTTTAAACACAGTTCTTTTCCTACTATCTCTATAAAACTTTAAGCAGTCTTTTCCTACTGGATGAAACGTTACTTAAGTTTGGGCTCGTACATGTTTTTGTTAAGTTCTGTTTTTCTCCTTTCACGCTACTTCTAGTCCAAGTTCATTTCCTGCTAATGTATGTTTGGTTGTTAGTCATGAAAAGAATACTCTTATACGTTGGTCGTTACAGATGCTATGTTTTATTTAGCAATGGGATATATCTGTAGTTCTGTACTCTCCTTCTCCTTGTTGCTATGTCTGCTTATTATTTTGTCTAAAAAGGACCATGGCCTGGTGGGAGATAAAAGCTCAATCTGTTCTAGTGCGCAAATTCGGGTTCTAGTTGCAAGCAGCCACTTCGTGCAAAATGAGCCGGAGGTTGGGTCTGTACCTAGTTCAACCCTTCCAGCACCCTGGATTGAGGGGCCAAAGCTGGGTAATGGCTATATACTCGCCAATATTTTCTTTTCCTTATAGTGGATGACCCTTTTGGAAGAAACTTTTCTTTCAGTTATGCTTGTCAGGAATCATCCATTTAAAAGAAGATAGAATTATTAAGATAAGAAAAGAGGAAGTAAATATTGGTTATGCCCGATCATAAATGCTTGCTCTCCAATTTATTTGCGTGAGCTTATTTCTTTTCCAGGATCCTACTATTTTCTAGTGCTTCAGCTTATCAATATAGTTTATCTTTGCAACAGGCCTTATATTAATCTCATTCGACCATTTTAATTCAGAGTAAGCAATGTTAACCCACAACACATACAGTTCAAGACGTTAAATCAAGTCAAAACATCAGCTGAGTCAGCAAAAAATAAACCTGACAAAATTCATATTTCAAGGCAAATCTGGATTTAGGTTAGAGTATATGCATCCTCATCCTGATCTATCCATAACTTCAGTTGCCAAATAAGGTTTTAAAGATTAGAGCTTTTCTCCTTCAATGCAATTCAGTTTTGCCTCCATGTGCTGCCTGTGTTCACTACTGGATTTTCTAGTAGCCGTGAAGTGTAAGTCCTACTAGGCAAGCGGCCTGATTGATTGCCAAAGGTCAAAAGACATTTTCAAGCCCCATATTTGTGAGCATTTACTTGCTAGAGTATTCTGCACCTACCATGCTCATTTGACTTGGTAGGCAAAAGATCATCTGATAAAGTTCTTTCTAATGTGTAAGTAAATGAAGATTATCTGATGGTTTTGCTGGGTCTTTTGTGCACATATGAAGTCATACCATGCTAGTATTTAGAATAAATGAAAAAGGAACAGAAAGCTATCCCAAGAATTTTGCATCAATTGGACTGACATCTTCCTTTTTCCACAGAGGACGCTCAGCTCACTCCCATACTACGTCTTGGAGCTGGAGCTTGTGCTGGCATAATTGCCATGTCTGCAACTTACCCAATGGACATGGTGCGGGGCAGAATCACTGTGCAGGTAATTTATGAGTTCTTTGGAAGAAATATTGCCTGTTCTGATGTTCTGCATACCGTGCTATGACTATGTAGCGCTCTGCTGATACTCCTTTCTTGAAAATCCTCTTTCCTGCTCTGCAGACAGAGAAGTCTCCTTATCAGTACAGAGGAATGGTCCATGCCCTATCCACCATACTTCGTGAGGAAGGTCCACGTGCTTTGTATAAAGGATGGCTTCCTTCCGTGATAGGAGTCGTAAGTCTTGCTTTCCTGAATTTATAAGTGATTGCAAGTTTCCTACTAAATTGTTAACCATGCTCAAACCATCTTCATGGAATGAATCTCCAAATGTAAAGTTGTTTATGAGGTTGAAAATACTTGCAATTATAAATAAGCATACTCTAATGCTATTTATATATTTAGTTGCACAGTTTCAATCCAAAACAATGATGCTTCAAAGCTTGTTGAGAAGAAGAAAATGAATTGTTAATTGTCTTTTAGAGGTGTTACGAACTTTATCCACCAGTTAATTAGCCAAAATAGTACTGTAATCCAAAATACTCCCGGCAGAAGTTTAAAAATGCCTTCTCGCAGAAGTGTGACAAAAAAGGAAGAGGAAAGAACATGCAACACGAATAGAGTGTTCTTCTGATTCTTGTGAAAGTTCATAATTTAATTGGTGTTTGCAGATTCCATATGTGGGACTTAACTTTGCAGTCTATGAATCACTAAAAGACTGGTTGGTCAAAACAAAACCACTTGGTCTCGTTGATGATTCTGCTGAGCTTGGTGTTGTAACAAGGCTGGCATGTGGGGCTGTGGCAGGGACTGTGGGGCAAACTGTTGCTTACCCTCTTGACGTTGTACGCAGAAGGATGCAGATGGTGGGTTGGAAAGATGCTTCATCCATCCTTACTGGTGATGGGAGGAGCAAGGCTCCCCTTGAATATTCTGGCATGATTGATACTTTCAGGAAAACTGTTAAGTATGAGGGCTTCAGGGCCTTGTATAAGGGTTTGGTGCCCAATTCAGTGAAGGTTAGTCTTGTTTCCATACCTTGTACCTTTTTTTTTCTTCATTGAGACTTTGGTTGAATTTTATTAGTTTCTCTTCTTTAGGCACATAGAATTGGCTTCCTTTTTGTTGCAATTTTGCTTATATAGGAAACTTTTGCTCTTGGTGAGACATTATTTTTTCGTTACAATGCTCGACCGAGTAGATGATGTCATCTTTTACTCATAAAAAACCCCTACATTACATATCCTTAATTGATAAAGGTTAGTTGTTGGTCTCCAATATCTGACACTCTCATTATATTGGCGGTAATCAAATTTCAGCTTCTTTTTTTCTCCCATAATAATTCTTAAATAAACTGTGTGTTTCTACTTGGGACCAATTGGACAGCCAACATTATATTTAATGGTATTCCTGGAGGAGATATCTGCAGTGTCAAAACCTCCATTTGAGTTGTGAAATAGTTGGTCCGTGCATAATTAAAAGTACACATCACAAGCTTTAATACTTTCTCTACTACTTGTTGGCAGTATTGCCGTGCTTCTTGTAAAGCATGGAACTATCTTCTTAATACCTGAATCTTTTTAGACTAATAATAGCTTTAACTTATCTACTATTATAGTTCCCTTTTATAATATATTTCAGGATCATTCCTAACTGTTCATTATTTGTTCAGGTTGTCCCTTCAATAGCTATTGCTTTTGTGACATATGAGCAAGTGAAGGAACTATTGGGAGTTGAGATCAGGATATCTGACTGATGAAGACAAGCTCCAATTTGTTCCCTGCATATGATAATTTTGTAGGCAAGGATAGATAGAGTGATTAATAATGTGGCAGGTTACACCATTTAAACAGAGCATTAATGCTTCTGTTCTAGCTTGTGGCGGAAAATTTAGGATCTTCTAGTTGTGTTGATAATTCCCCTTAGGTTATCTGCTTGTTGCTTATCTGATGTTTGTTGCCAATAAGCAAATTATCAAGAATAGTGTAATGAATAATTTGAATACCTTGCTATAGTGAGTGAATGAAAGCTCATCGCTGGTGCCTTTTGTTAATCCTGGTCTCTATGCAACCAAAGCTTTCTAGTCTTTGTCAGTTCTCAACTATTTCTGTTTTTCTTTGGGTAAAGTTTGAATAGTTTAGGTAAGAAGGGTACTCACTAGCATCATCTGCTAATGCTATAATATTAGTCTCTTCAATAAACATGCCATTTATTGGTACGTTGTTTAATGTGACGCAAAAGAATTGGTTATGACTTATGATGTATATAGTCTAGAGAGTAGAGAGCTGCATTTTCCGTGCTCAGTAGCGTTTTATTGGAAAATTGGCGAAAAGAATTTTGTGCAAAGTTCTAATTTCTATGAACTTCCAAAACCTCCGTGACAGAAAGTTATTCATTTTTTCAAAGCTAGTAATTTTTTTCCCTTGACGTCGGGAAGAAGAGTTTTTATTTTATTTTATTTTCCCACCTGGTGTCCGGTACAAGCCCGATTATATTCAGATTCACGCCGCGTAGGGCCCCATTCGGGGAAGCGCTCCTTAACAAACCCGAGACCTCTGGTTAAGGGACATCCGTCATTTTTCAACCAAATGCCTATCGCTGCCTCATAAAACAGGTGATCCTTGGAATGTTTTTATGTATAATGGATGAAAGGCAAATGATATGCTGAAGGAGAAATGAAAAAAGATGGATGAGAAGATAAAATCTTGTTCATTGTTAACAAATCGAAATGGGCATTTCCAAAAATGAGAATACATCAATTTTGTTTCAACTACTATTCTTTAATATGAACTCTCTCTTCCCAAGCAAATACAGTACATATTAAGGTAGCTTCAACGGCCTTGCTGAAAAAGAAAGACCTTCTGTTGGTACGTCTCTGGTTTCTAGCTTTGGTCAATGTTGCTTTCTTCACATTCTTCTACTACGCCTGAATGAAAAAATAAGAGAAATAATCTTAATGGCACAGTTAACGGACTAGTACTCCTAACTTTAAGAAATACTAACGAATTTACAGTATTAATTATGTACTCTTTACATCCTAAGAGGGAATTACCAAGAACCGACAAAGTATGTATATAATAATGAATCATAGAGCGCGAGGCAGACCTATGTGTTATAGTGAGGGGTCATTAACCCGCAAGCTTCGGCACAAATCCTGTATACGTATATCTATATACCTTAAAAATGGTTAATTTAAAGTACTTGACACCTTGAGTACTAAAAACCTTTAGGGGCACTAGTTGAGCAGAATATTATGTCCGTCGTATAAAAATTCTGGGTCCGCCTCGCCTCTGATAGAGCGGAAGGGGAAGATGTTCATCCCAGTTTGTTAGCAAATCAAGTAAAAAAACTGGTTAACTCTCGTTGTCATATAGTATGAGACCAAAGAGAGTAACAATTTTAGGGTTCTTAATTACCTGCAATCTCTAATCTTGGTCGAGAACCTTTGAATTTCTGGCTCAATGTTCTTGTATTTCTTGATTCCACCCCGTTTTCTGGAACGTAGATCAGAAACAACTTTGTGTTGTTGGTGAGCTTTGCCATTTTCATTAATATCCACTGCCTCAAAATCAAGTTCTTCAGATGATAATGAAAGGTATGAGATAATTTGAATGAGATTCAGCTCTGCAAGAAATATTGTCCTTGCATTCTCATCCCTATGATCTTCCTCTGTATCCACCAATTGTTCTTCTAGCTCCATTCCCATGGTTGCAGATTCAGCCATTTTTTGCCTATTTTACAAATATAACTACTTCAAGCAAAAACTGTGGAATGATTGTGCATCAATAAACAAAACAAGTAAATAGAGCACAAAATGCATAATTTTTTACCTTCTAATTGGGTTTCCAACGAAAATATGTTTTTCTTGTTGTGTGTGTGTTACGAGATTTTGGAATTATATTTGAAATGAGTGAGGAGGACGTTGCATATATATAGGAGTACAATCAGTGGGTGCTAATATATGGTGTCAACTTTGTTTTAACCATCCACCTTTTTTGATGTAACAGTAACCAGAAATTGCTGTATAATAGGCAAATGTTTGGCTAATAGATAGGGCATAACCTTTCGATTATTTTATTTTCTTGCCTCCCTTTTAAAATTTGTTTAGTCTAATTTGAAGCAAGAATAAATACATATATGAAGTTTTTCTTGGAACTCCTTTTAGACTTGATTTTGAAAGAAGACTCCCTTAAGAAGATGTAAGGCAAATTTTCATACTCCTGTTTCTTGGGTGGCTGCCGCCGCTCCTCCCTTTTGTTTGTGGAGTGGTTTTACTTTTTCCTTTAAATTGCTTCTTGAGAATTATAGTGTTCCGAAACAAATATTACTTCCTTCGTTCACTTTTACTTGTCCAGTATTCTAAAAATATATTTTCATCACTTTTAGCATATCAAGAGAAGACAATTTCTTTTTTTTCTTTTCTGTTATACTCACGGTATTAATTACTCATTTCAAATCATTTTCTCAAATCCATTAAAAATATGCATCAATTAATATGGGTATGATAATAAATTATGCACCTCATTTATTATTTCTTAAGGAGTGTGCAAAGTATAAAATGGACAAGTAAAATTGAACGGATGGAGTACTTATTATCCCACTAATCATAATACTTTGCCATAACAATAACTATGTTATAAAATATAACCCAAAATTACAATATAGAACAAGCAAAACAAACTAAGAGATATAGATAGAAAGAGAGGAAGAGAGATTCTTATTTCTTCTTCAATTGTGTGTATTTTCCTATCTATTACAAGGCCTTTATATAGGCATAAAAAGTGAAGAAAATATGTCATGGAATATGTCATTGAACATACAAAATATGTCATTGAATATGGCATTAAGCATTTGAGATGAAGATCATGGAAGAAGAGTAGACATCTACCATAATGTGATATTTATCATAACACTCCCCCTTGGATGTCCAAAGATAATGTGCCTCGTTAAAACCTTATTAGGAAAAAAAAACTCTATGAAAAAAAAAATCCTAGTGAAGGAAAAAGAGTACACATGTTTAGAAATACGCCTTTTGGTTGCCTCGTTAAAAACCTTGCAAGGAAAACCCAGTGGGACAAAACCTTGTAAGGGAAAAAGAGTACAACGCGTATTAACTCCCCCTGATGAGA